TGTTGCATGCGTGAGGAATTTGCGATTTAACTGTTGATTTTTATGTAAAAGTTCGCGAGAAACACGATGGTGCTACTGGTTTTCTCTGAAATCAACTCCCAAGCTCAAAAAAGCTCTCAAGTTGAGGCCAAAATGAAGGGGATATCCCACGCTATCCTGAGAGTCCACCTCTACATCAATACAAACTCCTAATGCAAAGATAGGGAGCAAATACATTAGCAGGGATGCCGTGTTTTCAGTTTTGGAGTCCCGAAACAAAGTGGCAGCCCTGTCAATGTATTTGCTCCCTATCTTTGCATGGAGAGTTTGTCTTGATGTAGAAGTAGACTCTCAGAATAGCGTGGGATATCCCCTCCATTTTGGCCTCAACTTGAGAGCTTTTTTTGAGCTTGGGAGTTGATTTCAGAAAAATTCAGAGGCACCATCATGTTTCTCGCGAACTTTTACGTAAGAATCAACAGTCAAATTGCAAATTCCTCACACCTGCAACACCTCCATTTCTTGAATGGCTGAAACCACTGTGCACCGGGGGCCGAGCCGCAACCCTACGGCGCGCTTTTCGGGGGCGGAAAACTTTTGACTCGAGAGACTGCGGAAAAACAAACAGCGGTAAAACAGCACGTCGGAGCGCACAATCGCCTCGTCGCGGAAATCCACTCCTGGCACGGATGAATCGCTTGTCTCGACGCGTGTGCCTCGGTGAGCTTGAAGAGCGAGGCACTCGAAAGGTCCCACCACCATTGGCGCGGCGTGAATGATCAATTATCGAGATTTCCCCATTTGAAACTATGGTCAAGAATCGATTATTGTGTTCGTTGCGAACACCCTGTTAATCGATCCTTTTGCCTAAGTTTAATCGAAAGATCAATCGATACATCGTATAGCACGCCACGCGACTGCCACCAACCGCAGCTGCAGAAGCTTCGACAGAGAGGGAAATTGCACAGCCGTATCTTGCACTTTAATATAAAGAGGAACGCATGACGCATAAAATCTGAGACTTGAAGCGTTGTTAAGGGGTTGGACCGCGAAGTGGTCTAAGGGCGCAGCCCCCTGGTTCTTGTTAAAAATTGAATTGTTCGAGCCAATTTTGCAGTTTTGGGATGGAGTATCTGTATAGAGAGAGTAGAGACACGTCGAAATATGGTGCTTTAAAGGCCCAAGAGGGATGCCAACCTTCCAACACGAAAAACACCAGAAAAATTCCACTGCCAATCTTCAGTAGAATATCTGTATGGAAGGAGTCCGGACAAGTCGAAAACGGGAGTTCTTTAAGTGTCCAAAAGGGCAGCCAATCCTCTAACAAGAAAAACACTGTAAAATGCTGCTGCCAATCTGCAGATTCCAAAATCAAAACAAAATGGCCAAGAAGGTTCAAAAATGAGCGTCCTGTCGCAAAAATGAGTAAATTTACGCAAAAAATAAGTAAAATACAAGCTTTACGAACGGCGGGTCGTAAAAGCTGGGAAGACAGAGCACTCTGGATATTTTTAATTCATAGGCTGGTTGCCTTTTCGAGAGCTCAATGACCTAACCTCAAAATTACCGACATGTCAGTACTCTCCCCAACAGGTAGTCTATTTTGGAATGAAGTTACGTTTCCTCGTCCAGAAAATGACGAAGTGCGTGGGTTCGCGGAAGTCGGCGCGGTCAGTCAACGCCCCCCCCCCCCCNGGAGCAGCGCGGAAGACCCGGTCTGGCCGGTCAATTGAGCCGGACCCGATGACGTCATCGCGTGACGGCGGGGTGCCTCCCCGGCGGGATTACCGCGCGACACGTGAGCCTGAGTCGCCGCGACGCGACGCGTTATCCCCGCTGGATTTTAATTGAGCCTAATTGACGAGATGAGGGTTGTAGATTGGTAGGTGCTCCGACTGCTCCACCAGGCTCTTCCTGTTGCCGTGGCCTCGCCGAGGGCCCGATAAAAAACTGGACGTGGAGCGTAGGATCCGAGGTGCAGGAATGGTGGTAAGAAAACGCGAGGAAATAAAATGGATCGCGTTGAGCAGAAAGGAACCGAGCCACATCAGCTATTGTCAAATTTAACTGGGCAATTTAATTTACCACATGAAAACGGTGAAGCAGATTTGTTCGAAAATTTCAGTGAATTTTCTGCATGTTACAAGGCAGATTCCCTAAAATTTTCAAAAAAATTCGCACAAACGTTCTCTTGCAGAAAATTAAATACCTCAGTTAAATGTGGCGACAGCCGATGTGACTTGGTTCCTTTCTGTTAAACGCGGTCCCAATGTTCTTTAGATTTAGGACTTGTGTGGATTACAGTTTGCGGAACCACTATCCCTGGCTCTCCCATAAAAGCACATACCTGCTTAGGGGAACTATATGGCAGGTATGTTGTTTCTAAAATGGGTAAGAAATAGTGAATCCTCATTGCAAAATGTAGTCCATGTGATTCCTCAGTTTTGGAGGGATGCATTCGGGGCACAATTGGACCGCGTTAAGCAGAAAGGAACCAAGCCACAATAGCTATTGCCAAATTTAATTGAGAAATTTAATTTTTTACACGAAAACGGTTGTTCTGATTTTTGTGCAAATGTCAGTAAAGTTTTTGCATACTCCGAAGCAAATCCCTTAAAATTTTCAAAGGAATTCGCACAACTGTTCTCATGTAAAAAATTAAAGTGTCCAGTTTCTGGCAATATCTGATGTGGCTTGGCTCCTTTCTGTTTAACGCGATCCAATTATCCATTTGAGCAATATTTTGCAAAAAGCCTGTTGCAAACTTCAGATAAAGCAAAAAGAAGAGATTGGTCTTGTAAAAATGGCTCAAAAATCATCATCGCGCCGATCAAAATCATCATAATTTTTGAGCCATTTTTTCAAGACCAAACTCTTCGTTTTAGCCACTAGGACATCAACTAAGACATCTGAAACTTTGAAGAGAAAATAAACATATTTTTTCTAAAAAAGTAATATTTTGAGAGGGGAAATTTGGCTACGTGCGAATGTTCATACGACGTTCTTCGTTAGCACGGCAGAGCCGGACTACGTTTCATCCGAACGGTCAAGGTGTTCTGTACTCCTTGGTCGGACAGAAGCGAGGTCGATGACCCGCGCCGTCAACAGTCATCAATAGATTTGCCCTTGAACCACCCCCCCCCCCCCCCCCCNGACTAAGTATACCGTATACCGTTCAGCTCGAATTGGCAAGACACAGGATCAGGGACCTGCCTGTATTTCAACGATCATTCTTCCTCAACCTACCTCCCTCGTCCCTTGGCGTGGAGTGTTTTGCGATACATCGATTGATCTGCCATTTAAACCTAGGGAAAAGGATCGATATACAAGGTGTTCGCAATGAATACTTTAATAATCGATTCTTTACCACAGCCTCAAATGGGAAAATATCGAAAATCGATAATTCACGCCTCGCAACTACAACGACTCGAGTACACTGCCCTTCTAAGGAAAAACGCCATGTGGACGTTCGAAGGTTGCCAGAAGTCCCTGTTAGAATTGTCATTTCAGAGGAAAATTGTGTTATTTTTTTAAAAATTTCAATAAATTAAAGATGAAATTGCGAACAGAATTCTCCAAGGAATTAGGAAAAAATATTTACAAGTTTCGCCGAAAATGTGTGCTCCATCGAATGAAATTTGGCAACGCATGAGGGCTCTTACGGTGTTATTCCTAAACTCGACGGAATAGTAATGAGGAAAGTACCACGCACTGCAATTTGATACGTGAATTCCGATGCCATTTGCGCAGTTATGAAATATTATAGCCCGAAAAAAAGCTGAAAAGCTGTGGCGCAGTTGAAAATTCTCACAGGGACTCGCTGAAAATAAAATTGGTCTTAGGGACAGAGGGGGCGCGCAACGGAAAGTTCATGGTTGTTACAAGGATTTTGTTGGTGTCTTTAGTTTTTTTCTCCCTCTGTAGCTTTTGCACGAAGAAAATGACAATTTTAAGATGAATTATAGGAGAAAATGGGAGAAAAAGCTGAGAACAGTGGGCGAGAGAGAATTTTGGACTACTATACTATCTTCACCTCCTTGTCTTGCTTATAAATTCCGAAAACGTGCAGATACGTTGTATACGATTAGAATTATGAAAAAAAAAAAGAATGTGCTTGCACCTACAATGCAGCCACAGTGAGTTGGTTAGTTTATTAATTTGCACTGCCAAAAATGTGGTAGTTGGTAGGCTTGTAAGCAGCACATGACTAAAATTTTTCTTCACATCGTTTCAGGATAATATTTCCTTTTTCTAGGTTATGATCGCAGGGAGACAAAAATGACAGAGAGACTATTTGCGACTGGAAAGTGATGCCATTCACACCTCTCTTGTGAGGTGGTCTTTGGCAGTTTTTGATACGTAGCCTGGGAAACGGTGGACATATTAACACAAGAGTTACTGCACTTATCAGAAGTGCGACATACTCAGACAGAGATGTTTTGATTTTATTTTATTCCTATGAAATTGTAAAAATGTAATTATGAATAAATAATATTGTAGATTACGAAAAAACTACTTGTAGGCTTTAAAAAATTAAAAAAAAATTGATTAAGAGGAGTGAAATCACAATTTTTGTGAATTTGTTTAGGCTGTTACGACAATTTCCGCCTTTGATTAGACATTTCATCCTAAAAACGGAGGAACACGGAAAGAAAAAAAAACAAAAAGAAAAACAGGGATGCCGGACGGTTGAACACACATTTTTCAAGTAGGGTTTTTTTTTACTCCATGCACCTTCTTGAAACGCCACAAAAAGATGAAATTTCAATTTTTTTAAATTTTTTTTAAAATTTTTAAAATTTTACTTTGTTTTATGGATAACAACCCGCAAGGGGAGCGAGAAATTAAAAAAGACCTTTACACGTTCTATCATGCGGCGCGTTTTGAAAATTCGGCCACGCGTGACCATCCTCGGTTTCCTCTCTCTCGAAACCTCCTCGATGCGGCGCGCTAACAGCTGTGACTCGCGTTAACCTCTCGGACGGAAAAGTTGTTGTTTCCCGTGAAAAAAGTGTCGGAAAGTGCGTTGAAAAGTGGACATTTTGCGTGCGAACTCGGGACTTTTGCGATTCGGATCGTGTGGGTGTGTGAGTGAGGTCGGCCGCGGTTGGCTCGAAAGCTATGTTGGATGACTTGACCCTACAATACATCGTCGTGCGCAAGTCCAAGCACAGATGAACCTGCGGTCAGTGCTTGGGCCAGAGAACACAGCAGTACTCCTGATTGCCGCCATGATCGCTCTGATCAGCCTCGCCCCCTGCCAGGCCGCTCTGCACCACTCCAGTGAGTCTTAAAACCTCTCGTAAATGTAGCCAGTGGGCTGTTTATTGAATTTACCAATAGACAAAGCAATAGCAAAGAACTCAGGGTTGCCGGCCAACCATTAAGATCGCTCAATATCTTCTTTGGCTATATTCCTTTATGTACCAGATTAGATAATCAGCCCGCTAATAATAGTCAAGATAATAAGCGCTGGAAAAAAAGAACACATTGGATCTAGAGTTCAGACTCTTAAAAACATCGACAAGAAAAATTACTCTTGATTCAATCAGAATCGAGCTTAAATCAAGAACCAAACCTCTTAATTTAAGCGGATTTCGTATTGATTCAAGCAAAAATCCGATTGAATCAAGAGTATTTAATCTTGTCAATGTTTTCAAGAGTCTAGACTATAGATCCAATGTGTTTTTTTTCCAGTGAGGCATTTTCAAAATGCCTGGACATGGAGCTGAATTAGTAACATACGTCAAGGATTAAATCCTCAAAATCTTATGAAGAACGATTCAGACAAAAATAAGTTTGGATTAAACTCCTAAACGAGATACTATAAAGTAAATTGATCACAGGCTGAATGAAAGTTTGACCACACAAATAACGTCATTTGCTTTAGTTCTTTTAAGCACTTGACCAATGTTAATCGTTAACATTTTTGTCTTGATTAGGATATTATGTCCACAACTCCTGTTGTATGATTCGTTTTCCTCGTGAGAGTTTGAAGAGCAAACATATTGCGTTGTGCTTCAATAACTCATACCATTGTCTAAAGGCCCGTTCTTTTATCATAGACTACAGTACGGACACATTTTCTTACTCTTGAGCAGGAAATTATCGAGTTACGTTGATAAAAATGTTTGCAAAATTTTCGATTATTACATGGTACCTTTCTTCCCAAGTATTTAGCTCTAAGTAAGTATCTACATTAAAATTGCTAGATTTTCCGTAAAATATAGATTATTTTTACGTATTTAAATAAAAAGAAACCACATCAATTTTGACTTGAGCCCTATCATGCGTGTATTTTAATAGATCTTAGAGTTCATGTTAGAATGGATATAGTTCCATTTGATTTAAGCCGTACATTTGAGAATTTTACTGGAAAAACTAAGTAAAAAATAAAAGTATTGACCAGAATCATAATCAAGCTAACTGCATTTCACGTTTCTTCCTCTTCTCTCGTTATATTTTCAACAGAAAACTAAATTTCTTAACGTCTGGAGACTCTCAGAGAATTTGCCTTAGAGTATGAAGCATTTGCTCACACAATCCCTGGTAAAAATTGGCAGTAGAAGCTGTGTTCCAAAATACCATAGACCTACAGCCGGCTGTAAGATTTCCGATAACTTCTATAGCCGGCTACACAATTTCTTATAGCCTTTCATAACCGATGGCGATTAAGCAACAGCCAGGCGATAAAGTGTATACTAAGCGTTACAAATTACGGATGCTAGGATTTAGTGAGTTTTTGGAATACTGCTCTCTTTTTGAACCGTAGTATCTTGATTTGTTTTGCGAGGAAAGCTCCGTACTTTTGATGGATGCTTGCCATTACTAATATATTAGAGCGCCTTCAGTTTCGTATGATACTGTGCAATACCTCTGGTGTGAAATAGTTGCTTCAAGCGCCGTGGCACGCTGCGGCGCGGCAGGCGGGCAGCCAGCGCGAAACGCGCATTGGCGCCTACGAACCTAACAGGGATACTTCACGCGTTGCGCAATGCGTGAAGTATCCCTGTTAGGTTTGTAGGCGCCAGTGCGTCGCCGCTCCGCTTTGTGTTAGGCTCTAATATTTAATCTGGCGGAGTTAGCGTCATTCAACTCATGATTTTGAAATTTTCGCACATCCTGTATGGATTACTCTCATTTTAATTGATGAAAAAAAAATATGTATTAAAGGAAAATATAATGTGTGTTTTGTAAATATTAAGGTAGTTCCGTATCAAACTTAATGATTTCCAAAGCACACGAATTTCTACCTAATTTCTTATAGCCTTTTATAATCGATGGCGAAAAAGCAACAACCAGGCGATAAAGTGTAAAGCCCGGCGATAGGAACTGTAGCCCGGCTGCATAATTTTTTATCGCTTCGTATAGCCCGGCCGTATGATTTTCTCCGCATTCTACAGTCAGCTATATGATTTTCTGTAGCCTTCTTTAGCGGGCTATAAGAAATCTTATGGTGTTTTGAAACGCAGCTCTTATCGCCAATTTTTACCAGTGATTTCAAGTTTGATTGCTGCTTAATTGTTGGTGAAAAAATATAACATTCGAGAAACTAAGATAACGCCTGATGTAACTGGGCTGATCCCTGTTAAAATTCCGTCCAAATGCTAGTTTCAATTTTTCCTTCTTAAGGGCTGAAAACTTTAGAGTTTTTTCCTTCTTTTTTCCTTTAAAATTCAGAACTTGGCAGGCTTTTAAACACTAACTAATTACCCAAGCATTTGACAAAACGCCTGATTTGACTTTTAGCCTGTAACATAAACACCATTACTCAAGACGTCACCGTAAGGATTCTTCGTTAGATTAATTGGACTACACTTTGCAATAAGGAACTACAATTTCCGGTTCATTCGAAGAATCGCGTATGCCCATGAGGAAATTGATGATGCATACGATATTTTTAAACTGAATCATAAATTTAGTTCCTGATTGCAAAATGTGATTTAATTGACTTTTACGGAGAAGAATCAAGATCTTTGGCAAACAAGACCGTTAGTTGCTTGGAAGAAATCTGTGAGCGTCATTACACGTTTTCTCCCTTTCTCTGGACTGATTTCACCGATGGGAAATCTGATAGGGAATCATTTCCCTCCTATGACGCAGAGTGGATAGAGTCAATAGGAGAGGTCGGACAAAATTTGGAAACTTTAAACGCTTTTGACTCCGTCTATACAAAACTCTGAGGTTCTAAAAGTAGTTCCAGTGGTTTCCTCATATGCAATTTTCTTCTGGAAGCACCCCTTAAAGTTTAAAATGTGACGAGATAAACATCAAAATTTGTAATTTTAGTCAAAAATTGCATGTCTGACATCTGCGATTGACTCTATCCACTGTGTGACGCAAGGGCGTATCGCAACTCCAACGCGAGCCCTATACTCTGTGTAACACTATGCTTTCCTAGTTCGTAAGGGAATAGAGATAAGCCCTTACGTCAAATGTGCATTAATTTGTGCACTTGGTTCTTTTCTCAGAAAGTATGTTCCTACTTTTCCATTTAGGAGAAGGGGGATTATTCTTGCAGTTGATTTTGATTCCGTGGTCAGAAATAGACAGCCGAACCAAATGAAGTTTATCAGGTTTGAAATTTGAAACAAAAACTTTTCACGATAGGCAGTGAAGTAGAGAATTTGCCGAAAGCAGAAAAAAAATTGTGCCTCTTTCCTAAACTTTGTATATGACCGTCATAGTCAGTCAGCAATCGCCGGCAATTTTTCAGCGCAGCATAATTTTAACTCGTCAAATTTCCATAATTCGCATCGACGTAGGATAGATTTCATTGGTATAAAAAACTTCAAAAGCACGCTCTCGGCTAGCCCCTTCAAAACTGGATGATACACTTGGCCTTGCAAGGCAGTTAGTTTAGTTCCCTATCCGGACCAAACCTAACTAAGGTCACCGATTCCATAGCATGCACTAGCGGGTGTGCTTGCTACGGCCGTCGGCCAGTGGCGATTCCTTTGAATTGGCATCACTGTTTTTGCATTCAATGTATGAAAAACAATCGATTTTTGGTGCGGCAACTAGCCTCACCTAAATCAATATTTTATACGGACTCATACGGTGGAAAAACAGTGTTGCCAACTTGTAAAATAGCCACTTGTTGAGCAAAAGAATATACAAGCAGAGGAAACGTCCGCTTGAATTCCAGGCAAAACAATTAATACTTTCTTCGTAAATTATTTACTTCTGAAATTCCCTTTTTCTCAATTTGATACGAGCAGATCGCGATTTGCCAGCGATTTCTAATTGCTTGCGATATATCTTACAGGATTCTGACAATGGCTTCAGGTATTTGTATGTTTTTACCTTATTGGTGGAAGATTATGAGCGAACAAATGTATGGACGAAATTTTAACGAATCTTTCAAAAATCACGAGGGATGACTTCGGTAAAGTTTCCCCTCAACCTTGTTTCATGTTATAATGGACCCTCTCCTACTAAACAAGGTGTGAATTTCAACATTCTGATACGTATTTCGTCCTCAAAATTGAGCATAGAGAATGATTTGCCCAACGAATATTATTGAAATAAACTCCTAACTAAAACTTTAACGTTTCTATTTAGCATTGGTTTCGGGAATTTTGAATTATTAGTTCACAAAAAAAAACAATGGTCTACAAGAATAAAATCACCCACTAGTACAGTTTTAGGGGACTTTATACTGGAGTAATACTCCTTCCCCACATTGTGTTGCTCAAAGCGCACCAGTTGAGCCGGAGCACTGAGATTGAGTTTGCCATATTTTTAAATCAAAATTGGTATTTTTTCATGAGCGGGGAATGTGAATAATAAATATACGCATCCAGGACGTTAAAAGTCTTAATTAGGAATTAATTTCGATAATGTCCGTTGCGCGAACTGTGTGGTTTCAATATGAAAACACGTATCAGAATGCTTGAGTTCGCACCTCGTCTGGTGATCTATTATATTAATAGGCTTTGTTTTTTCCTTTGTTGGAATAGACAGAGAAAGTGCAAGAATAATCGGGTCTTTCGCCAATTTTTTCAACTTTTTTGGGACTGAGAGAAAACCTGCTGATGTAAAAGGAGCTACCTGCAAGCGAAGTATAGAGCCGCAAGGATCTGGGTCTGATCTCCGTCATCATGAACGAGGCACCAATGAGCTACACGACAGTGGCTGGAAAATACTTGATCCTAATCTTCAAAGTGATCATGTTCCAGCACGCCGTATTCCTAGGCATTTCATGCATATTATACACCGAAAAAGACCCAAAGATGATGGTAAAAAAGAGAATAGGAATGCTACGAACCGAAGTCACCATTCGTCCATGTTAGCGGTGGATAAGACTTCGAAATTCAAAAGAACCCCCTCAACGAAAAGAAACAGAGGGAGGAAGATTTTTAAAAAACCTATCAGTCACTCATCACAAAATGGAAATCTTACTCAAGAAATTGCGGACCTCGTGAACGCAACCAATGAGTTACCAATAGGTACCTGGACTCTTCCTCGTGAATTACTGGCTATGGTCACCAAAACGAAGGCAAATTTCTTCGACCCGATCAACGAGTTGGACGAGAGCAACTCCAAAAGGAACTTACAATCGAAGGCAAAACAGAGACTTTTTGACAAAGACGACCAACTTTTTGGAGACGCTAGTAAAAATTTAGACCAGAACAGGAATTTCCTCTTCCATTCTGAGTCGTCTGGTGCGATGGGCCAAGATGAGAACGGGCGGAAAAAAGAAGCTTCAACTCAAGCTTTGTCGCCGCACTATACAAAAGAGGACGCCTACCAACAAGATTTTTTGTTCTTGGAAAACAGACCACCGCTTAATACAAGACTTTTCGGGAGCGCATATTACAGTGAACCAGAGATGTCAGGTTTTAATCGGTCAAACGTAGAGAATTTGCGAGCCCTTAATCCCGCGTTAGAGAGAGACCAACATTTGGCCGAACGAGCTTTAATAAATACTGAGAATAAAGCATCGAGAATCTCTTCGAACGAGAGTTTAAAGCTTGAGACGGCTTTGTTTCCCGAGAGTAGTAAACTAGGAGATTTGTCTCTCCGCGAGATGAAAAACAGTCAACGAAGGTATGACATGGGCTTTGGAACTGACATGAAACTCTCAAGTGACGCAAGAAGTCCAATCGAACCTACACTCAAAAAATCGTCGAAGTTTGACGTTGAGGTCCACGGAAAATTGATGCAAAAATATCCGGATGAGAGTTTGACGCGAACCCGACCGAATGAGGTAGAAAAAATACATCTCAAAGAGAACACACAATTTTTGAATGGCGAGCTGGGTGGCTATGCGCAAACTAATTTCGGACGAAATCCTAGATTATGGTACGAGGACCCTACCCTGCCTGGTACAACAAGAGTTTCTGCTAAGTGTCGCGGCAACAGTTCATACAAAGTAGCCCAACGACCTTTGAGCACTGGTGGAGAGAGTCCGATTTTTAGTGCCGTAAATTGGCCTGTGAAACCATGGGAAGGTAATTTTCAATTTGTAAAGGTTTTTGACACAGGGCAAGAACAAATAAGAGAGAAAGAAATCACAAAGTTTAAAGGGACAGAAGAAATGCCTCTTGGAAGAATGCTTGAACAAGACGCAGCTCATAGCAGCATTAATATTGAAGACCACCCTACAGTTCACAATGACGCAGGAAAATTAATGGTTTCTGAAAAAGAGAATTACAAGATTACTCCTGATCACAAACGTCTAATCTTTTCGCAGGGGCAGTGCAAAGAGCCATCGAAAGATTCTACGAACGACTATTTTACCGGGCTGAGTTTCGATTCTCCAACGCTCTACGCATCGAAAAATAAACACTTCTTCATGAATGACTTCCCGAACACTTTCAGGAATGAGCAATTGCCCGTTTTCCAATTTCGTTCAAAGGACGAAAAGCCAAAGGCTAGCACGATAGTTTCGGGGACCAATGAGCAGTTAGGAAAATTAATGGATCGTGCTTTCACACACAACCAAAATCCGTTTACTTACGGGCCAGAGTTGCGATCTTTCTTGCGGAAGCAGGAACAGCAAATCTCACCTGACTTTGAGAGGAGCAAAAAACCAAAGCTAGGAGCCTATACTGAAGTGGGTCATCTTGATGGGAAAAATTCAATCATGCTATTAAACAAACTGGATGAGGAGCAAAAATTGAGACGAAACCGTCCATACGAAAGTTCTGACCCTGTATTGGGCCCTAAGGTACAAGCAAAAATAATGTCACACGTCTCTACTGACCGACCACAATACGTTCCAAACCAGTGGCGTAAAGTGAGAGATAACTACTCGGAGCAAGTTCATGGTCAGGATATCTATAACCCTGCGGCCAAAAAGGATGTAGAAACTGAATTTGAGCCATTCCACGCAACTTCACAGGATTTGACTAAGTTTCATGCCAGAAATTTGTTGAGTTTTGACGATGAGCGACCTGACACGTCTTCATTAGAGGCACATTACATCGTTCAACCTCGCGAAGACAAAAGCATGATCCATGCTCAAAATCAAAACCAAATTTTCCAAACAATAAACCAAGGTGTGAGTGGAACTGCCTTCCCTCTTCAAAACTGGACAGCTGAAGACCGTTCGTTTTTCTCAACCACGACAGGAAAATTTAAAAACTACACGGAGCTGCAGGCGAATGATCAAAGCCGATATTTCTTGAACGATAATCTGAAATGCCAGTTTCTACGAGGGAACTTGCCTCAGCCCACAATTGAAGAGCTCGACGAACAAATGAAACGTGGAAATGAGTACAGTTATTTTAAGCGGATAGATATGGTCAAAGGCAACAAGAAATCTATTGTTTACAAAATCGTTTTGATAAACAGTACTTCATCAAAACCTAAGAAGAAAAAAGGACAGAGATATTTCGGAAATAGTCTAGTTCTGAATAATAAAACCCAAAAATCGCCTTACCACTCTCACCGCGTGATGATGAACAAGCTTCACTCGGGCTCAAATTGCAATAAAAAGATTCTCATGCTGGAGAAACAAAGCAGTGTGGGAGGTAAAAAACAAAATCATGGGGGAGGAAAACAGCCACCAGGGAGATCTGCAAAATTTGCAAAATTTCGAGGAATGAAAGAAGGGCGTTGCGCATACGCAGCACGTAACAGACAGGCTAGCCAAAATAAAACATTACCCTCGAACTTGACTCCAATTATTTCAGATATAAGAGTTTTTAATCAAACAGGTCCTTTCCAACCCATTTACTCGGTCTCTTCGACGAATCCTCCGCACGCTTCCCAAGAAATCTTTGTTGGAAATTTGAAGAATGTTCCCTCAAAAAACGTGCAGCTACCTCAGCAGTTTGTGATTCCTAATCAAGTGCAAGCCACCGATGTTCACGCTTCATTCGGGAAAGGGCTTACGCAGCTGAATTTCAACGGAGTCAACCCATCACAGAGTCCTCAAATGGTGGTATGTAAGGTCCAGAGCACGCCTAAGCCGTTAAAAACTCAAGTAAAAGAGTCTATCAAGCATTTGTATCCAGGAAGGCAAAAAAGTATTCGAGTAACCGATTGCAAGCTGGCTGTTCTATCGACGACAGTGGCACCAATTCAGCAGACATCAATACAGCCGGCAATTTCTCAAACTGCATTCATTCAAAGTTTCCCATCCCTTAATACACTGATTAACGCACCACAATCGAGTCCAACAGTTTCCCAAATAACAAAACATAGCATACCGGTAGATTTGACGGGGTTAAACAAACTGATCAATGCAAACCAGTTTCCATCGAACTCTGCTGTAAATAGAAGTTTCGTATCACCGGCAACGGTGCCCCCTCTTTACTTCAATGCAACTACGAAGAGACTTTTTTCAACTTTTAACCCTCACGTAAATAATTTACAGTATTCTCCCACAAACGCGGTGCAAACTAAGCCTCAAAACGTAAACTCTAAAAATTCTGGTCAGCCCAAAATAGACTCGTTTACGGAAAATGGAAAAGGATCGGCGGTAGGTGCCTCTGTGAAACAAGTGAACGTAATGACTAGAACACAACCTCTTCCTACTGCTGGAGGAGGGAAAGGAACAACCAAAGGACATATCTTTCTTCAATCCCTAAATACGAACTCTAATCCCCCAGCAGACGGACGAAAAAAAAACAGCAATACTTCTGGAAGGCAGCAGATCGGAAAGGTTCCAATTTCGCAATATCTCGAAACGCCAAATGCAGATAAGCTGTTAGGATATCAAATTATACCTGAAAATAATGAACATTACGATGAAATCGTGAGATTTTACGAGTCCCAGCTAGCAAAAGGCCCTATGAATGAGATTGAGAATTTGCCACTTTCTAACTACTTGCCCGCTGAGCTCCGTTCTGACGGAGAGAAAGCAGAAAGTTTTCACGCAGATTCATTATCTAGTCTGATTAATGAAAATATACTAAACGCAGGATCAGAAACTGGAAAGACCAAGCGGCAACTGATTGATCTACCTAATGGGACAAATACTGAAACCAACAATTCGTTGGTTGATTCCGAAAACAAGCAGGAGAGTCTAGACCACGACCTGCATCCACCAACGAGTAACATACATTCCGAGTCTAGTACGGAACCTTTTTTAAGGAAAGAAGAAGGACTTTTAGAAATCACTCCTGGTGCTACATCAATTGAAGATCAGATGATCAACATAAAACCAATTTATAGTAAGCACTCGCTGGAGGAGTCAACATTTTCATCATTCGGTACTTCCATTGAGATGAGTACACTCACGAATCCATTATCGCAAGAGCCAGACAAAATCATTTCGGAGGAAAGATCATCGAGCGTTACCGGCACAGTACGCACTAACTTAAGTGCCGACGGGGAAACGTTATCTAGCGTCCATGTGACTGAATTCCCTATCCTTCCGACGGTATCGGCCCAAGGTGTACAATATGAAGTGAATACTAATGGTTCGCATGATTCTCAACTAGTAAATCAGACTATGGACTTCGCAATTAGGTCTGTATATACGACAAGGACCCCTTCTTCGACAGATCATCTGCTTGTTACATCTCCAACAGAACCGGACGGGAATATTACGAATCAACTGCCTAATGGGGATGGCGGCAACGCTTCTACAACATCTGTGATACAATTCTCAACATCAACTTCAAGCATATCGTCACAAGTTGGATTCAACACTTCTCCTCCTACTGATTCTCTCGGAGCTGTCCAAAATGGTGACACTTCTTTGATGAAACAAGGAGTAGGAGAAAGGCTGGATAAAACAGGAACACAGGACAAAACACTTGTAACGAGTAGCAAAAAATCTGATAAGTTTGCCGCAGGCTATAACCTGTTTCGGAAGAGTAACACAGTCAAGACGACAGTTGGCTCTGCGATTGAAGGAAACACGAGATCAGTTACTTTTAGTGGAGAAGAAAACAAATCGTGCACACCATCGAATTCCCTCTCTCAAACTCCTCCTTACCATTTCGAACAACAGCTAAATAACATGATGGGTGTTCTGGATCAACTTCTTGGTAATATTTCAGACTTGAATAATCGTGTTCAAATTAACTCTCCCCAGAGAGGTCCGGTTTCTATGATAGACTTTCAGAGGACTAACGATTCTCTACCGGTAAATGGACCTATTTGCCCATCAAATAAACTATCGGTTCTAAATAAAAAATCGCGAACACAGAACGGACATCAACCTTTGCCTGAGTTGACCCAAAATGCTGAGTCGACGATTATTGACGCTATCCACATCAATAAAGAAATGAAACCGACTAAACGTGCGAAATTTTTTTCTTTCACTTCAGACGGCTCGACTACTGAAACAAGCGCACACTCATTGAATCAGCACGATGGAGGTGATACTTCTTCTGCGAATAGTCCTCTGAGCACTCAATCCTGCCAATTTAATAGAAAAGGCATACTTCCAAATGGTTTTAAGAAAGGAACAGCACTTACGCCATCCTCTACAAACAAACCTCCAAAAACTCCAAGTTACGATGCAAGTGCACAGCCTTACCTTAAAATCTCTGCTCAGCCTGAGCAAATGTACCAAAACTTGAGTGCGCCCTCAAATACAGCTCGGGAAAACTTTCAAAGATATTTTTTTCCTCAAAGAAAATTAGTTCAAAATCCTTTCAAAAATGGAGCAATGCCAACAAGAGATCCATTCCTCTTGCAATATCCTAATTTTAACGGAAAAAGACCTGGGGGTGCTGTGACTCCTTTCTTTTTCAACGGCATTCCTGTAATTCCTTCAATGGATCCAAGGTTTCCAAGTATTGGAAAGAGACCATCCGTGTCTTCCACATACAATCCTTCCAGAGTGGGACAGTTTCGGAAACGCTTTAATCAATCGACTAACGATTTGAAGAGAAAAGACAAGAAACATAAGGCTTCCGAAATAGCGCAACACAGAGCCATGCTTGAAATATTGAAGAACTCATCGATGACTCTTAAGGAATTTCAAGACAATATTCAGAAACTTAATCACGATGTTCAACGCCAACGACAGCTGCTATTAAATCTAAAAGCAGCTCAGGAGAAAAAGTTGCGTAAAAAATTCCCAACACTTAGTGGTGATCAACTGGCCAAATTACTTGATTCCATTTTGAAAAAGTCGGAAGTGATTCCTATGAGTGGGCTACCTCAGGTGAAACTCGACACTCAACTAGTGGGAAATTTACCAAATGCGTGGTATTCGCCGTTTATGCAAGCAGGATCTCCAAATGATAACTCTTTCCAAGGGTCAAACTTATTGCCGCTCACATGGGGTGGACAGTTCGAGTGGAAACCTGAGACATTGGGACAAAACCAATATCCTCTGATGATGCAACAAGTATCAAACGCGAAAAATATTTCGCCCCAACCTGAGTTTTCGCCAAGGGTAATGCAGTTACCCTCGCACTACTACGAGTACAGCAAAATTCAGGCTACTCAAATTCCAGATGTTCTGGATTTTAATAACCAGTACGAGGTGATTCACCAAAATCAATCTATATTACAACGGTCAAAGTATGTGCATGACGGATCCCTGACTTTGTCGAATTCGTACGTACATCGTAATTCCGAAATGAATGATTTGAGCACGGCCAAAATAGATGCGGAAAATAACAGCATGATACGAGTTGCAAGAAAATATGTTCAGCCACGATCTAATAGCGGAAATAGCACAAAAAGCCGCGACTTGTTATTGGAAACAGAAAAACCCGAGAATGAATACCTTAACAGCTCAACGAGGCGGAAGCTCATGAGTGGTGGAAACATGCAGAGTGAAAAACAAGAGGAAAGATCTGAAACGGATGCAAGTGAGACGGATATGGACGACGATACAGATGACGACGGAGAGAGAAGCGATGGAATTATACTAACATCACCAAAAATTTACTTATTACCAAGTCGAACAACCTCACAGTCCGATGAGAAAGTATTCAAGCACGGAGAAAGACGTAATGATTTTATTGACAAGTCTTACGGAAATAATAAAACACTCAATGGCAGAAATTTTTCGGCAAGGGATCGGAAGAATGAACTGAAATACGGGCTGATAAAAGTTAATGGGAGTTTGCCAGGACAGATTTTAATTCCAGCGTATATTGTTAATAACGTCTCGAGCAACGTCCAGGAGAATGAGCCACAGGTAAAAGAGAAAAATTTACATGATCAAGAAGACGCTGCAGATTTCATGAGAGGGATTCCTCCAGGTTTTTGGATTTTCAGTTCCGAGAACGATCATGCTTTCAGATCTGGAGGAAATCTAACGAAAGAAAATTCGATGATAAATAGCAAGGTGCGAGACTTGACGACAGACGATAATAGACATGCTTATTCTAGATACGGAATGTACGGCCAAAAGAACCCACAGCAAGTGGGAGCGCCAAATACTGGGGTGGATTTGCTCATTCATAAGCTAGAGGACACCCAAAGCAAGCATCCAAAACAGAGCAAATTTGATAATGATATTGGATCAATGATATTAGACCGAGGAGGTTCAGGATACTCTCCTGCTATGAAACAAAGGCTATCATCGTTCAGAGCTGGAGAAACAGTGAATTCGGTACCGCCATCACGAAACCTGACACGGACACTCATTGAACCTAATTCAAATTATATCCTGGTGCAGCATAACAAGCAAAGTCTACCTGTTTCGAGTAGTAACATTTGGAGTCCCGGAACATTCACACCATTGGCTCCAATAATCAAAGACACTAAGATGCCAGGGTCATTCAAGATTCCATCCGAACATATGGAACCAGAGGAAACAAGTCTCGAAACAAACAAAGATACAAAATCAAAGGCAAACGTCAAAACAGCGAATTATTTGCCCGACGTGAACATTGAAACTTCAAAATCACAGTCCATATCTGATAAAGAGAGGCCTTACCAACCTGTTGGTCGATTTCCTGTTTTGAATGAGCAGGTTCAAGTGGCAGCTCAAGAATCGAAGACGAGTTTGCAGGATGGATCAATAATCTCATCAAATTTTCCAGTTCTGCTGAATGTTGTGACAACAATGCGCCCGATCCAACTTCTGAGTCACTTCCTTGCACAAGACACAATGCCACAAAAATATACATCGCAGAATTTAAATGTGCAAACTGCGTTTCCAACTGCAAAGAGACAGGGCACTCCGAATTTTCATGAACTCTTGATACAATCAGTGCCTAATCCAGATGCAGATGCCGGGATCAACAACCCGGGGATTCAAGCATTTGCTAATATTTCAATTGTGTTCCCCTTAAAAAATCAGAGACTACCAAAACCACCAACGACCCCTGCATCACCAAATAACGTACAGGATGAAAACAAAGCACCGTCAGACCAAAAAGTAGGTCAACCACCTACCTTCCACGAAAACAGGAACCCGGCACCAATAGCTTACTTAGATCTCCCAATGCAACCATTTATCAACCAAGCATTAGTTTACCAAATGTCAGTCAACCAACCATGCATTCATCAACCACTTCCAAATCCAAGTCCGCTAAGCTCAGCACCTAAAAGTCTGGCTGCTGCGGATCAATCAGAGGAAATTTATCCCGGAAACCGAATGCCGATTCAAACCTATTCCTTGGACATTCATCAAGTTATGCCTGCAAAAACTGGCTTCACTTCGGAGCCGCTTTATAACCCGGAAACTTATTCAAACCAAACGCAAAATCTGAAAGCTCGATCGAATGAGGTAGGAGCTTACTATCCTCATTTTGTAGAAAATGCCTTGTCTCAACCTGAAAGAGGGCCACCATTCAATCAACTTCAAAACCGTAGGATGATGGAAGTGCCACGCACGTTGCAGTTTCAGCAAAGGTCGTTTCCAATGCAAAATTCAAATTCCATCACCATGCAGCCACCTTCTCACCAAATGCGCAATACCTGGACATGGAAATTTCAGCAAAGTCAAGACAACAACCTTCCCCAAAACTTTCATTCGCACGAGACAGGGCGGAAATTTGAATATGGCAGCGCCAAAGTAAGCGACGAATCCCAAAATTTGGAGAGGCAAATATTGACGAATGTTTATGCGGACAAGTCACTCCTCAGTTTAACAAAAAATCAACCGGTTTTGGAGGGTGGGCTGCCATCAAATGAAACCAATTTCAAAAGGATCTTCCCCTCCAGAACAGCGCTTAAGAATGAAAATTCAAAAGATCAAATCTCATCTTCGAACAGAAACTCGTACATGGGTGCGAGAAATTTCATTTCGTTTCCTAAGCAGGAACGACACGATACATTTAATGATCCTAAGCCCAATTCACAGCGCAACCGTGAAGCTGCTGACGAGCCCACAAATACATCTTTAAAAGTCAATTCTTTGAAAATGTTATCCGATTTTGATTATCCAAGAACAGGAGCTCAAAATCATACTAAGGAGGGGGAAGGGAACACAATTGGGTCACAGACGAGTTTTGACGTCCGAAAGCAAGATAATCAGGACGGCGTGCGTGAGTTTTGGGCGAGGATGCACGAAGTAAGCGAGAATTTAATACCTAACGGAGGGAAATATCCACCTATTTATAGAAGGAAGTACAGGAGAGTGGGGCCGTTCTTGCCTAGATATCAAAATAATACCCTACAGAGTACAGTACATTTATCAAATAATTTGAAGCGTAAGAGGCGACGATAGTTACGCACTGAAAATATTAAGCAAGAATGTATAAAGTATGGAAGCCTAATTTTATATTACGCTTACTTTTAAGTTAGAATAGCAATCGGTGTCTTTTGGGCTCCTGTTATTCATAGCTAAAATTAATTTCCAGTAAAATTGAAAACTGCAAATAAAATCTACCGGCGCGCTCCCGCTAAAAAATATCGGAGCGACCTCTTTTTTTCTTGAGGAGTGTTAAATGAGAATCTGATAGCGAAACGTCTGAACTCCTGTTAAAAATGAATGGGTGTCTCAGCATTGAAGTTCTCGAATCAGGATCATTCCCTTAAAATTGATTCAAAGTTACTGGAATTAGTAAAAAAAATAAGGGTGAATGTAGTGTACAGCTGTAACCCTTAAACATAAGTTTTGTAAAATAAATTGTTAATAAATTTACCCCTGCTTTTTTTCACTTCCTCACGAAGGATTTTCATTACAGTGGAGCGATAATATAAAGGAGGCAGAGAACAGTAACAGCCACAAGACGCTGATTTACGCCCTGGCGGGAGGTGAAACTCAAGAAACATAAGGTGAGCACAATAAATAAAAGTGTTCATCGGAGAGGGGCAATAACTCAAAATTATTGTTAATTATTAAGAATTAACCACCTTTATTCCGAGCTCCGTGCCAAGCCACCCGGCTTCCCCGAGAGGCGCTTAAGAGAGGAATAAAATCGTCTCAATTATTCCGGAGCGGGAGCGCCGAATTACCGCGGAAAGAATCCGAGGAGGGACAGAAAGAATGGAAAGAAGACGGAGGAGGCGAGGGGCTGGACGTTAATTAAAAAGTTGTTCAAAGGGCTAAAAGAATTATAATACTGATAGGGAGAGTTGGCAGAAACATCGGCTCCTTGTGCTGCAGCTCGCAACAATAAGTCACTTCATTAAGTGCTCAAGTGTGTTGCGTGCATAACGGCGTGGTTGCCAAAATTCTGTACGATATTGCATTCTGTAAAAATTTGAAATTTTCGTGTTAAAACTACACTTGGGGGATGCACTTTCTGACCGCTTCGCGGTCCAACCCCCCGAAATGCTTCGCGCCTCAGTCGTGATGCGTCAAGCATTGCTTTTACGATTTTATATTTCAGAATGAGAGAAGCGATCTTCCATGGGAAAGGGACCTTAGTCAACGAATAAGAAGATCGGAGGCGATTTTTGTCTTATTTTTGGGTCGGAAAATTAGTCTTGGAATTTTAAACAAGACATATTTTAGCGTATCCTAAAATACTAAGTTGCAAGCTGCCTAGTTTAATTTAATGTCGATGGAGGGTGTGAAGTTTCACAATGGACCACTAGACAAGGTACGCATTTAAGCAATCTGATACATGTTTCTTAACCAGAATTTCACGTAGAACACGATTCACACTATGAAAATTACCGAAATCAACTTCTAACGAAGATATTAACGTTTTTATTTCGCACTGATTATGAGGAATTTGAACTGCCCGCTCACAAGAAACTCAAAGCTCTACGTGAGTCAAATCGCGCACTACAACGGTTTCAGCAAGCTTCTCAATCGAGCAATGTTCATTTTCCACCATGTGTTGTTCAAACTATTGGTAATTTGCTATAGCTGAGCCAAAGTGTCAAGATTGAAGTTGAAGATTTTTACATCGCAGAGACTGTCATGATAAACATTTAGCGCGCGATGTGAATCACGTAGAGCATTGAGTTTTCATGAGCGGGTGGTTTGAATTCACGCATCAAGAATCATTAAATATCTTCGTCAGGAGTTGATTTTGGTAATTTTCGGTGTGCGTATCGTGTTCTACGTGAAATTTTGATTGAGAAACATGTATCAGAATGCTGAAATTCGTACCTTGTCTAGTGGTCCATTGGATTACATTTAGCAAAAAGGAACCAGGAGCATTGCAATGTTGCTAAGATTGTACCCCTTATTTTGGCTTGGAAGAAAAATCTGATTATCCAGTAACAGTTCCTATTTTACTCGCTAAAAACTGTAAATTCAAGACACAAATTATCATGAAAATTTTATATTATTTCATGATTTTAGTAATTATGCTGCAAAGGATGAAGTTGCACAGTCTTATCATCATTGAAATGCTTCTGGTTCCTATTTGGAAAATGCAATCCAGTTGGTGTCTCGCGTATACCGGATTAAAACTTTCAGTAACTTTCTCTCGAAACTCCGTTTTTGAAAGTGCATTCAAATTGTCTTAGCCTAATTTGGTTCGACATTTTCGGGCGTTTTTATTTTGCGTCAGGGTGTCCATACATAAAAGACGAGTAAACAGCAAAATTGTGGTTGAAAGGTTTCTTTTTCGAGGTTGGTCATTTTAAAAGGATGATCAGAGATCTGCCGCAAGGCAGATATCGATGGCCTAAGTGCAAAACCACGTAAATCAGTTTACAACGTTGCGACTTTTCGTCAGATTTTATTCCTTCTTTGGAAAACTAGTTATCCTAATTTCTTGAAAACTCTCTTGATTGAAAAATTATTCTATTCCTGACACATCCATAAAAGCAATTATCAGCATAGGGACGCTTACGACTGAAACGCCGTTTCTAAAATGAGCCTGAAATGGTATAGTTTCTCACCAGAAGATGTAGTCCACGTGACCATCTCAGCATTTGATGAGATTGCTAGTGTAATTGGATGGTTCATGGTTCATACTCCTTTTTTTCAATTGAAAAAACCGGAAGACGACAAGCCTTAAATTGAAATAGACCACAGGCGCAAAAACCAATTTGATACCTTGAATATCGGACAAGAAAACTAGGTTCTTTAGCTGAATTTTGTACCCTGTAGAAGAAAGGATTTCACCCGGACGATCCCTTCACGTGGAGCCTCAAACCTTCGCCTTTCATCACGAACCCTCGAACAAAAGAGCGCGACTAAATTCTAGAGTGAACCCTGGAAAGCAAGGAATTAAGAGAGCGACGAGGCTCATTTCAGTGGTACTCATACGCCCTCACGTCACCGAAGGAACGTCATTTCGGGTCTGAAGCTCGAACTTTTGTCCAGGGTCGCTGGATGGTGACACGGTGAGCCAGGATGACGAAGAGCAAAAAACAACCAAGGTAGAGTAAAGGAATGGATGGCGGTGGGGACTGAGGTTGCACAACTGAACGAAAACATCAATACTTTCGGTTCAGGATCGCAAGTTCGGTAAAATTCGGAAAGAAACTCTTTTTAGGCATTATTTTGAGTAATATTTACATTTTTGTCAGCGTTTATCATGAATCAGATCACGATTATAAGCCGCATTTTATGGGAATAATAATTCAGGAAATTTTCGGTAAAAGGGCCTGCAAGGCTTTCTGCTAATATCGTGCAACCTCGATCTTCGTACACTAAGAACCGATCTGTAAGCTTCGCTATAGGCATTTTTCCCAGTTTTTCTGTAAAAATGATTTGGCTGTAAAATATTTCTTTTTCTACCTTTGCGTGAAAAAAACTCAACAATCTGAACAGACTAGAAAGCCGTCTGGGTCCTTTTACCGAGAAGTCCTCAATTTAAGAACCAGGAATCTAGTAGCCACTCAAATCCTTGATTTTCCTTTCAAGCGTGTTTTTTTCTGCATTATAATAAAAGAAAAGAAAAAAATGAGAAAAAAACCCGCACAGAGTTCACCATGGTGCTCGGCTCGATGAACACTATAAATTGATGGAGTCACCAATTTCACATACGCTTTACGCACACAGGAAAAAAACACATTGGATCTAGAGTCCAGACTCTTGAAAACATTGACAAGAAAAAATACTCTTGAATCAATCAGATTTTTGCTTAGATCTAAAGGAAATCCGCTCAAATTAATAGGCTTGGTTCTTGATTTAAGCAAAAATCCTATAGAATCAAGAGTATTTTTTCTTGTCGATGTTTTTAAGAGTCTGGACTCTAGATCCAATGTGTTTTTTTTTCCAGCGCAAATTAAAATTGAGGAAAGCCACCGTTGCCAACTTGCAAGGAACGCCTCTGATTCTTGCTGAGCTCGGTGGAGCTTTCCGGCCGTTCGACGTGTCAACCCGGTGAGAAGGTGGCGGACCCGTCTGCACGGACAGGTAATTGACGCGGGTTATTGGCGGAGCGCAAGGGGCGGGGGGGGGGGG